TCATACTGAGCTATGCTTCCCTATGCTTTACCTGTCTGGGGTAGCCCCAGTCCAGGGGGGAAGTAACAGCATTGCACTCCGGAAAATCAAAAGCTTTGCTCTTAGCCAAGGTCATTGTGTGGTACAAGCAATTTTTAAGGTGTTCAGTGAGGAAGCACAGATTAATGGCACTTCTGCCAGTGTGGCTTTATGGAAGATGCTTTTTGGAGAACTGAAGTTTGGATCCTGGTACTGCTGGGCAAGTCTCCTTTTTCAGGCTGAAATCTCTATCTGGCAATTTAATTCTGTAGGTGTTTGGGGAAGAGGACACAAGAAATGCAAGGATGGCTTTGGAAGGGCACCATATTTACTTTGTTTTGGGGGAGATCCGACATCCAAAAAGTTAAGCACTGAGTGAAATTGCTATTATTGTTACTGTACTATTGTGGCAAATGGCAAGAAGCCCCAGCTCAGGGTACTGCAAGATGGGAAAATTGATATAACTCAAAGATGTTAGTGTCTTTGCCTTATAAAAAAATCATATTATTTTCTTTCAGTTTAGCTGCATACATCTACCCATGTGAACCACAGAGATGCTCACTTTGAGTTTGAAGATGGGAGAGTCACCATCATCATCATCCTTGGGATCATCATCTTCATCACCAACACCTGTGGGACTGTGAACCTCCTTCATAAAAGCCAACTCCAACACCAGCCTCATGGACACCCATGGCAGCCACAGGAGAAGCCTGTGATATTCCCTCTTGAAATGACGCCCTTTCTCCACCCCACTGCTCTGCCATCCCAGATGGAGCCTGGTGCCGTGTAGCAACCATCCTTCATCCCTGCAGAAACCCCCCTGCTAAAGCCTTCAAGGTGCAAGGTCAACAGAAAACTTATATGTTTAATTATTTTACTATATGTGTATATTAAATTTTGAGACAAAAAGTTCTCAAGAGCCATTGCTGTGAGAAGCTAGAAAGCTCTGTGTGGGAACACAGCATATTCCTGGGGTTTTGGCATTCTGCTTTTGTGTCTATTAATAATCCCCCAGAGTGAGTCATATGGAGCTCCATTTATTCACTTGACTTGGAGGGAGCTGCTACCTAAAATAGCCGCTCTGTAATTTTTTATGATGCTGTAATACCAATGCAGTGAAGATTGACATCATTTGAGGGAGATGCTCCAGTCTGGCAGTCAGAGAACCCATGTCCAGCCCCACAAGGAACATGGGGAGCCCTGTACTCCATTACATAAAAGTGCTGGAGAGCTAGCATCGGGCAGAGATGCCTTTTCTGTCCTCACCTGAGTATCTTTTGCCTGGGTTTTCCCCTCCTTAAACCTTTCTAAGCCTTCTTTGCTCATTTTCTTCAATCATGAGGAGTACTGGGCCCGAGGATGTTGAGCAAATGGCTTTTGCTTCAGAGGGGAGCCTCAGGCATATCTCATACCATCAATCTGCCTTCCAGGAGGTCCACAGGGGAGTCTTGAAATGCATCAAATTCAGCATCACCAGCTCATCCTTTTTCTCACCCACGTTGCTGCTCTATGTCCCTTCCCGAACCCCCAAACATCCCCTGGGCCAAGACCTGTGCCCAAAATCCGCTGTCTCCTTCCCAGCCTGGTATTCCCAACTGATGGCAGCCCCAGGCAAAGGGCAGAGAAATCCTGGGGTAGGGTTTGGGCTGGGTTTTTTAAGGATGAATCTGGTTTTCTGGATTGCGTCTCATTCTCTGCCCTGCACTGCTGCTAGCAGGTCCTGTAGTGGCAGCTTGTGGGGCATCCAAGACATCACAGGGTGGCCCTACTGCTCCTCAAAACCACCTGTGGGTACCAGCTAGTACCACACAGACTTTTTTGGCACAATTTTGGCTAGAATTCCTCTGCAGGGACCCCAGCCCATCACTCTGCACTCTCCACCAAAGCATTAGGAAAGATTAACTTTTCCATGCTGGGCATTAATAGCTTGGGTGAATTTTTGCAGGTCAAGTGTTTTATCAGCTCCATTCCAGGTGGAAATGTTTATTAACATTACCTTTTCATGGAGCACTTTGGGAGAAAATGGAACTCCTGCCACAGCAGTTCTGAGCTAATGTGACAGATGGCATGAGCAGCAGCTGTGGCTGAATTTAAGTCAGAGCAGCTCAAGTCCTTTGGGTGGAGGGTGTCACCTTTGGGTGACCTGCATGGAAAATGGAAATGTGGCAATTGAGCAACAGGCCCTCAATACAACCACTGGCATAAATAAATAAATAAATATAATTTTAATAGGAGCGGTGAGGACTTGGTGCCATCGTGTGTCCCTTGTCCTTCAGTCATCCATCCATGCAAGGAGAGCATCCCAGGGGAGGGGGAATGTCAGGAACGTGATCAGACACAGAAATAACCACCTCAATAGTCCTGATTTCTTGTTATAAAAGAAATACAGAGAGTGGCACAGCCCACCCTGGCTGTCAATTCTGTGGTTTTTGCCTTTGAAGCAATCACATCCCGCTGCCTGCATGGGCAGCACCTCTGATGATCCCTGAACTGGGTGCAGGACACTTGTTGCAGATTGTCCCTTACTCCTCGAAGGAGGCAGAATGGGCCTTTGCTTCAAAATTCTCTAGTCCCTAAATTCTGATGTTCCTAGAACACAGGAAACAGTGAATTGAAGGACTTTAGCACTTCCCTAGCAAGGCTGACAATGGCTTCCACTTTATATCATAAATACAGCTCAGCACTTGAACAAGGACTTGAATTTAGGGCTCCAACATCTTAATCTGAATTTTGTTAATTGAATTTTGTTAATCCTAACTTCCAGAGATGAAAAAATTACAGGAATAGAGGTGGTGAAGGAGAGCTCATAATAGAGGAAGGATGAGGGATACACCCCTCCATGACTCACCTCATCAGGCCCAAGTGAGACCTGTTTTTCTCATTCTGAATAAAACAGGTGCAGCAGACAAAATGAACTTTTGAGGGTCTGGATTTTAAAAATAATACAAGCATGCCCAAATCATAGAGAAGAGAGGTTGAAATAGTCCTAGTAGATCTGGTTGCTGAGAGCCTGTCCAGTTTCAGTTCTAGACTGAAAAGGTGGTGTTTTGGTTATTACAATACCTCTGGGTTCAGCCAACTTCCCAGGGAAAAATTCCAGGCTTCTCCAGGGTGGCAGCCACAAGGCTGCTCCATCTCCCACTGAGGCTGACAATGAAGGATCAGTGTGATTGCCTTGCTGAAAATGACAGCCAATAGCAATGCAAAAATAAGCATCGGTTCTGCACAGCTTGACCAGAATATTTACATTTTATTAAATCTTTACAATCAGCAGTTATAATCAAGTACACAATTATGTACACAGATTATGTACATTTTAGCCCAGACTTTTACATCACACTTTTACATAGTTGCCCTTAGAAACACCACCAGAGAGTAAAACCCAACAACAGTGTTACAGCACCTGTTATTAGACATCTGCCATAAGAAAATATACGGCTGTAAATTGGTCTGGCTAAAAAAAAACAAACCAAAAATCTTATAAAATCTGAACATACAATTTTCATTCACAGAATGGTTTGTTTTCTATATTCTGACTGACGCCTGTTGCATAAGATGTCCTGTTTCTCACCTCTCAACATACACTCATTGGTGACTACTCAGGGACACTGGCAGGAGGAGGAGAACCAGAGCTGGGCTCATTCTCAAACTTCATTAAAAAACAATAAATGTAAACAATTAAGAAGATTCCTCTAAGATCAAATGAGAAAATTGGCTGATCTGAATTACAGGGCATGGAGTAAGTGCTAGTTGCAGCTGTGATTCCTGAATTCTTCAGTGCTCAATACCATACAAAGAAATGTAAAATGCTATACAGAAAGGGTGATTCCTGATTAATGAGCTACGAGCAATATTCCATGTACAGGGAGCAGACTTTCAGACATTTGGGAAGAATACGCTACTTTCCAAAAGGGTTTTTCTTTTTGATGAATACATTCTTTTTGCTTTTTAAGATGATAGTAGCAGAAAACTGAATTCTTTCCAGAATGATATGAACTGGTTAAACTAAAGCACATGTCCTCATAAGGAAATACAAAGTGAAAATAACCTGAATGAAACTGTCCCCCCAATTTAATCCTCTTTCCCAAAAGGTCAACCTTGCCTGATTCAGTTCTGTAAACAAAGCTATGGCTCTTGTGATAGTTTCAAAGGTGAAGCAGAACTAAATGAAACAAAAACTACTCCAAAAGGAAGGATGCAACAGTTATCTGAGGTAGGCCACCACCAAAATGCTGCCCCCTAAATCCATATGGAGTTCTGGGATCCCTGAAAGGTAATGCCTGCTGCTCTGCTAACAGGTGGAGAAAGCAGTTAGTAAAAATGAGCTGGTGATGGCAAGGAAAGTTAACCTTTTAATAAATTTGACATGTACAACTAAATCTGCAAGTAAAAAAAAGAAAACCTTTAGCTGCTATATTGAGATAATAATGACCAGAGGCTCTAGGATATAAAAATAACTCTATTTCCATCAAAAGAGCTACCAAGATGATGTCCATGTCAAAAAGCATGGCAACAAAGATGCTCCTTTTGTGGCACTGAGCAATCAACAGAATTCTGAGTGAAAATGTTTGATCTGCACCTCATGGTTTGGTGCTGCAGTTGGCCATGTCATGGCACTCCCAGGGACCAAGGATGCTTAACAAGGCTCCCATGGTCAAATGCTTTCTATGAACTTATGTAACAAACCAAATCAATAAAAACATTCCCAACTGAAAATGCCCAGCTGCTTCAAGTCCAAACCTCCAGACAGTTACTTGTGCAAAGGAATGACAACTCCATTTAAGAGCTAATTTCTTTCAAAGGACACTTATTCAATATTCCTCCTCAAATTCCCTCCTTTCCTGGTGATTTAAAGTTCTGGATGCTATTTAGATGGACTGCCATGCTCTCAAGAGGTACCTGTGCATTCTGAGACTTTTGAAAGCAAGTGTGGCTGAGTACATGGATCCAGCATTGCCTGGGATTGCTCTGCTTGCTATACAGAGTATGGCTGTGCTAATTAACAGTTGCATATTCAGCACATGTAATTTCACCAGTTAAATCAAAGGTGCAGTCCAGAGTGGGGCTTCCTGTTTATTTACTCCATTCCAACGATGAACATAAACCTGTATTTTTAGCCTGGTGCAGCATATAGGCAGTGTTCATTTAGTCTTCAATATAAAACCATTTTTTGAACCACAGTTCACTAAAAGCAATTTATATAAATCAAGTTAGTTTTTGGCAGTTTCTTTGGACACAGTCAAAATGCCTCTATGTTGTTTAAACTTCCTCATTTTTACTTAAATATAATGGGGATAGCAAATTCGGACTCCCACTTACCTGTAACAAACTCCGGAGCCTGGGATAACACCCCCTGGACTCTGAACTATTGACCCAACAGCCAGAATTGTTGCCCTTCCCCACTGTCCCTGACCTCCATGCCTGAAACACCACATACACGAGTTGTATATGGAGTACAATGGAATCAAACTGTTGGAAGTCAAACTTGCAGAAAAGAAGTTTTGTTACACCTGATGTTGCCGTGTCCTTTCAGAGACTTTCAGGTTTCAGGGCAGACTGGAGTTTTTCAACCTGGGAGGTCAAGGGAAACACGTGGGACTCATCACCTGCCTTGTCTGCTTCCCCTCCGCCTCCAGCAGGACCTTCCCACACCTTTTCCTGGTGGCCCCACAGCTGGCCCAGCCTCCCTGACATGATCTGCTCACACTCTGCCTTTGGTTTGTACAATTCCTCCAGCTAGAAAAGCAGAGCAGGAGGGGAACTCCCAGGTCCCCATGTGGCTTCCTGTGGTAAGGGGTGTAAGGAGTGAGGAGCAGCACTGTGATAAGTCAGACAAAACCAGACTGCTTCCAACTGTGCAAACACCTGGAAACAATTCCCCTGCTGCTGTAAGGAAGGCTTTCAGCTGGGGAGGGGTGGGTGCCCCATCAAGAACCATTCCATGGTCTGTCACCCCACCCTGCTCAACTCCTGCTTCCCAGAGCCCTAAGAGTCCTCTCGGAGCCTGGAAGGCACAAGTCAGGCTTGTCACTACCTGGGGCACAACACCAGCCACAGGGCCACACAATTGCTTTGATTGCACGTTCCCATTTTTAAGCAGGAAAAATTAAAACATAAAAAGAGCCTGTGGTGGAATTCTATGTTGTTTTCCAGGTGACACCTGCTTGCTCATCCCAATACTGAATATGTTTTCTTGGATATCAGGCCTCACTTCTACCCAAAGAGGTCTCCACTTGTTTATTAACAAATAAGTTACTATTACAAGTCATAGCTCATCCTTTTCCATCATTTCAAATGCTTCTATATCTTCATTCCAGTCTGCTAATATGGATTCCATAGGCTGGACTTCACTATCCCAGTGAGCTTTGGAATTGGCCTCTGTCTGGGTGTTTTGTTCCTGAGGCTGGCTGTCCCCTGGTGTACATGCTGTCTCCGGAGCACCAGCCCCTGCAGGTCCAGGGGTGTGGGGATCCTGATCTGCCACTGAAACACTGGCACTGTCTGCACTGGAAGGAGACAAAGGATCAGCGTCACCAACAGCAGAGCTCTCTCCTCCTCCTTTGGGCTCCTCACTGACTTTTCCAGCATCCTGAGATTCTGAAGGAGCTTCCTTGTATATTGGTTTGTGTGAATCATTTTCAGATGATTTCTGGTCCATATTCTCCATTTCCAAATCTTTGAAAGGGAAGGAAAAGAGAAAAAAAAAAAGTTAAAACAACCGCAGGAACGTAACATTTTATTATGTATTCCAAAATCAAGGTCACTTCCCTTGGCCTTATTTCTTCAAAGAAGAGCAGACTTTCCAGTGATATGAAAATTTAATGGTACTGACTTATATTTTACAGAGGGATAGGAGGGATGCCTTTAAACACATTTTACATGAGGGCAAACAATACACTGAGGCTCATTTTGGTTCCTCAGACTTCAGGAGTGACTTATGGGTCAGTGCCAGTTACCCTCCTTCAGCCTTAAGCAAATACCCACTGCGTGCACTGAACTTTAATGCTGGACTTTTAAAGTACTCCCAGATCCACCGGGATCCCACATCTGAGCACACAGGAGATAGACGGAATTTCCTAAGTTTACTGAACTGTGCATTTGAGAGAGCCAAAGCCAGAGCCTCCCCACTCAAAGCAAGTAACACATGTCTCCCATGTCCCAGCTTAGCTCCCATCAACTGCCCAATTTAGTCATGCAGGGTTCTCCGAGTTTCATGTTTATGGCTATAAGCAGGACACTGATATTTCAGGATTTTAGGGAATTTAACTGCACATGCCACTGTTGACATGGGATACTTACTGCTATCAATAATGTAGTTTGGAATCATTTTACCTTTAAAGATTGTTGCTGGGATTCCAAACGGAAGCACAAGGTGGGGGAAGAAGCAGATATGGATTACAAACTCTCAAAGGCAGAGCTATCTTGTATTTAGCATTTTGTCAGAGCACTTAGCACTGTTATAAACAGGAGGGATTTGTAAGTTAGGAAGAAACAAGACAAGATTTTAGCATATCCCCTTTGGAAATAGGCTGATTTTCTAGAGATACTTTTTCTTACCTACTCTTCTTGGACACAGCAGTGCTACAAGGAAGGCTTACAAGAGGATAATCTGGAATTTTCTGCTTCATTCAAATATTTCAACTGGGAATGTATTAGCTTGCAATTTTCTTGCATTACACAAGAACACCCACAAAACATCTGAGGTCAGCAGCCTTATTTCTTATGGTAACCACTTCTCCTTAGATAGGCAAAATAGTTCTAGTCTCTCTGCTTTTGGATTCCAGGAATGTCACTGGGGATCTTGGTGAGGGAGAGATGTTCACCATGTAGGGTACTGGAAACACACTGTTCCTGATGATACTTCAAAGCAGCTGATAACAAAAAGGGCTCAAAAGGAATCCAAAAGGCTGGATTTTCTCATAAGCCAAAGTGACATTTAGGAACAGCATTTCTGGATGTTATCTCATGGGGGGAGTGGATATCAATGCTATCTCTCAGATAATGGCTTGCTTACTAAAAATCTAATTCCAGTGTCAAACAGAAAACCACAGCACCTCTGGGCTGCAGTGCAAATCATTCCTGTCTGTTTTCCACTGTGCCATGGCACAGATGGGAACTGGATTTAAATCACCTCTAACCTTACCTCTGTCTTTTGCTTTATCAGAAAGGAGCACCTCCACAGCCTCATACTCCCGGATGGCATCCAGGATGATGTTCCCTTCCTTGTTGAAGAGGAAGAGCATGGGAATGGTGATGTCATCTGTGTTCTTGCCATCCCCAGCCATTTGGAAGAGAGGGGCTGTGTCACTGCTGCTGCCCTCATTGTCATCTAAGCAGAGCACACCGGAGGAAAGGAAAATTTCCCATTAGGTCAGCTGAACTTGGAGCAGCCTCCCCTGCCCAGTCACTTCACAGCAAACCCCAACCTGGTGTGTTTTCCTCCACTTTTCATTTCTATCCCCATTCTTCCTCAGCAGTTAGTACTGACAGCACCCTGCAATCCTTAAACAACTTGTAATCTGCAATAACACCGACAACCCCCCATCCCAATTTGAGTCTGCACAGAACCAGAAATCCTCAAACATCGCTTCATCTTCTGAAAGCACAATCGCTGTGCTTCTCAGCTTAAAGCTTTCCTGTATCTTCAAATCTGTAAAACTGGGTTAAATTTGCACAAATCAAGAACTTTGAATTGTATTTACCAATGACAATGCCTCCTATTGCTCCAGCTTTCTGAATGTTTCGTGCCTTTTCAGCAAACATACACTGGCCTCTCTGCATCAAAGCAATTTTCTCTTTCACTGCCTCAGGATTAATGATCTCTGAGCATCCATTATATGGCTTAATGGTTGCAACAAATCCTCTTGTCTGTTTGGAAAAAATAAAAATAAAGAGAGAGTTAGAGCACTATGGTCATGCTTGTGAAAGATTCCCAAGTATTTTTGTTCCTTCAGTCACTCTAATGCATTTAGTGTTGTCTTGTGTCAGTGCAGACAATCTGTGCCCTGAAACTGGAGCTCTAGAAGCAAAGAATGACTGAAAGAAAACCTAATTCTCAAAATCAGTGTGGTTTGTCTGCACCTGGGAAGCACTGTCTCTGGAAATTTTTCTCCTGTGAACTGCTAGTCTGGAACTCCTCTTTGGGGCTGCAATGTGGGTTTTCCTACTGCTTCCCATAGGGACCTCTGCCTCTGTGGCACTGCCCTCTTCCATCTACACAGAGCCTTCCAGAAAAGCTTTTGTTAGAACAGCCTGCTCTAACTCTAAAAAGCTTCTGCCTGACATGGGAGAGAAACTTCCCCTAAATCACCACCTCCTTAGCTGTGCACTGCAGAATGGATAAGCTTGCTTTGCAATGTGTTTTAAATCCTATACCATGGCTGATGACTCAGGAGCAGGGCACAGTGCACAGATAGGTAAGCCACTCATCCTCACGCCTGTTACTGCTGTCATTGTCACCACTGGGCCCTGTTGTTTTAACCACTATAATTAACTGATCACCTGGAGGTTCAGCTGGATGCCCTCAAACAACAGCAGTACTGTAAACTGAGGCTTGTGCAACAGGGAAAGGAACAGACACACCCACATCCCTCATACCCCTGCTTTGTGTTTGGACAAGTCCATCCCAAACTGTGCTGGCCCAGCAGTCAAGACCACCCTGCCAAAGAAGGGGTGGGAAACAATCTGGACAGCACGAGGAGGAAGCTGCTGCTCTTTCTGCTGCTGGCTGGAGAGTTCAATCATTTCCTGCATGAACCGTAAGCCATCCTCAGCATCCAGGGAACTTGCTGCCTGCATAGAAAAGAATCAATAAAAAAAATTATCTTAAATGTTTGAGGAACTTGGGGGGAAAGAAGTTGAAGTTGTGTTTGCTTGGACCACTGCTACAAAGACTTTAACACACCGGGTGGATACTCCCACTTGGTGTATCATTTCACAAAAGGTTTAGCACCTGCACCACCTTCAGGAGACTGAAAATATACAAATATATAGACCTCATAAAGAGATGGAGGTATCTCACACTGAAAGCAGTGTTCTCAGCCAAGATGCTGTTGGCTACGTCACTTCAACATGAGCAGCCTCTACCTAATTTAGTGGAAGATCAGTTAAAAGTGTTGCTGAGGCAAAATATTAACAAGCATCAGCCTGCTAAATATAGCTACAACACCCATCTCATGTGCATCTTTCCACAGGGTGGCTGAAGCTCCAGGTATCAAGTATCATTGCTAGGAGGACTTTGCTGAGAGCTCTAAAAAATAAAATCCTGCCAGGTCATCTTACTTGCACTGCGTGCTGCACTAATTGTACTCGTCCATCTTTCAGATGGATCAAACTGACTCCCATCTTCTTCAGGATCTCCAAGTGCTCAGGATTACTGGCCATGAAATCTCTGGCTCTCAACGGTGGTTTTGGTCCACTTCCCAAACTCTCTTCTCTGCCAAAAGACATCAGAGATCAAGGTTTAAAAAACAGATTATCCTTGAAACAGAACTCTAGTGTTATCCCTGCCATCACAAGATTGGAATTCTTGGTACACTGAGTGCAAGCTTCAGTGGAATGCAAATTCTCAATCAAGTTACCTTTTAAAAAAGTTGTCTATATTATCATTAATTTTATAGTGCAAAACCTCCCCCCAGCATTGGTAACAAAACTGCCATATACTCTCATTTGTAAATGCTCTGCATTATTGCAACACTGATCAAACCCAGTTTGCCCCATAAAGCTGCAACTCGGTTTTATTCATGAAATACAAGTATAGAAGAGGTGGTCAGGAGGACAAACATCCTCAGCCTTAAAACTGCCCTAAATTCCTCAAAACAGGTGCAGTTATGTGTGGCAGCATAATTTCCTTACTATAAAGAAGACCTTCAGAATTGTTGAGGAGATTGCAGAAATGAATTTTTCAAATCAGAGAGACACACTTCCTGCAATACTCCCAAGTGGAGCTGCAGCTGAGGTATGCATCTCATTCAGCTCTTTTGTTTCAAAAGACTTGCTGCTTCCAGCTGGAAACAAGCTAAGTCTTGCTGAGGATGCCAGAGAAATCCAAAGTGATTTTTCCTGTGACCAAGAATCGTCCCTTTGACCCATCCCAAAAGGGCTGCAAGCTCCAGCACACCTCATACTTCTCCTTCCCTGCAGAGCAGATCCTGTTCCATGCAGTCCTGTGCTAACAAAAAGAGAGGAAATATCCATCTTACGCTCTGGAAATGCCCCGGGGACAGCTCTTATCCACCACATTCTTCAGAGGCTCACGGATGCTTTGGGCAAACAAGGGGTCATTTGGGAAGAGGATCTGGGTGTTCGGACAGGTCCAGTCAAAGTTGCTGTCGTCCAGCTCTGTGTACTCTGTGCTCTAAAATGAAATATACAGAGTAAAAAAATGCAGGTTATATTTTTACATAAAGAACATAATCAGAGAAGCCTAACTTAAGGAATGCGTGTTCTGGGGACATGTGGCAGCTGAGTGCAATAGCAAGGAGCCAGTGCACTGCAACCCCTTGGACAGATGAATACAACATCTATTCTAATTTGAAATTTACTAAATTTATATACAATTCCTAGATTTTTTTTTTTCAGAAACAGCTAATCCTCTGCTGGTAGACAGTACTTCTCAAATCTGCTCATGACAAAGCCAGCGCCCTGTATTTTATGTGCTGGACAAATAAAGGGAGTGGTTCTGGTTTCACCTGATACTGCCTTTACAGCAAGTGACCAGCTGCAGGCTTTAGGTCATTCTTACTAAAAATGTCACATCTTTTCATGTGAACAAAAGACTCTCCTCAGGAACCACACAGACTCACAAGTCTGGATGAGCAAGGATGAATCTCTGTATAATTCAAACCATTTATATTTCCAGGAAAGATGGCCGAGTGAACATCTGCACAAATTGCTGGTTTGTAACATGTGAATCCATGTGGAACATGTCTGGTGGTTTGAAGCCACATTTAGCATGTCCTTAGCTTAGCAAATAACTGGTTATAGATAACCAGCAAGCTCATTTTATAACTCATAAAAATTAATGTAGTATTTATCTACCTGAAAAGACTCACCCCTCCTGTTTGCAACATATTGGCCAACGAAAAATCAAGTATTTAAAGGCTCCCTAAACCCCAAAATCTATAGGGCTGTTACCAAGACATGACCTTTCTTGTTTAATAGAGCAAATACAAACAGGATGTTGGGTTGATAGTACCAAGTATCTCTCTCACAGTTTAACAGCACTGTATGTTTATGTTTATTTTATGTTAAAAATCATTCACACATTCCATCTCTTCAGATAAAATTCCATAAAAGAGGAATACCCAATGTCACAGCCTTTTTCAGCCATCTGACACCATTTTCAATGGGTTTATCTTACTTGGATTATGCCCATTTGCAGCTTTGACTGAAAGAGTTTAAAAAACTGCATTTAAGCAATTTATTCCATCCTATTTGGTCTTTCATTAACATTTGCATTTCTCAAGAGAACAAAGTTAGGCCAGAACTTAACACAGCACCAGGTGCGGGAACCCTACCTGTGTCAAAGGTATTAAATCCTTATATGTAGAACAAAAGTTACATAAAATGCTCCTTCAGACCCTTCAGAAAACTTACTGCTTAGTTCAGAAAACAGCCTGTTTCCAAAACTCGAAGAGGAAAGATAAATTCTCAGGGAAAGAACATTTCAGAGAGGGTATGGGATTTCTACCCTGACAGAACATTTAACATCAAACCCATGACCCATTAAAACATAACCAGTGTTTGACATTAACATAAAATAATGAAAAATTTGTTTCTGCTTAATGCTGAAGTCCATCAGACAGGATAATTTTTCCAGAATACATGGCTTGACACACAATATAAACCTTTTCCTCTGATCCAGATATTACTGTAAAACTCTTAGAAAATGTTAAAAATAGAGGCACAAATAAGGGAATTTGTGTCCTTGATTTTTCTCAGACACCATTTTCTCTTTCTTGTCTGTCTTTTTCTTATTGCCTTACAGACAAATTATGTCACCTTACTGACCACAAAATAAAAAAAAAAGAGGATGTACGATGTTTCATGGCACAGCTGTATTACTTCAGGTTATTTTGGAAGGTTAAGTCATTTATAAATCCGCAAGTGCTCTCATATTTATGCAATAGGTGGCTACTGCATGGACTAAAGTGATTAAACATCCCAAATCTGTCTGCAGCTGTATCTTGTCAAATTAACTCCACAGCTGTCTCAAAAAACCTCTCAAAATTTGTTCATGTGCTAAAATAAACAAGAAAAACTTAGGTTTTAGAAAAAATAATAATAAAAAAATGGGGACAAAATACCTTACTGTGTTATCTCCCAATTTCTACAGAAGGGAGGAATGATTTTCTTTTTAAATCTTGCTAATAATTCCTATCTTTTATGTCAAGGTTCAGCAATGCAGAATCCAGTCATTATTCCTACTCTTGTGACTGGCACTGTGATGAAATAGTGCCTGTTAAACAATGCATTCAAACTGGTGCACTTCCTCAAATTATAGTCTTTCCTGAATTTAATTCCATTTCCCCTCCAAAAAAGGAAGTGTACCACAGAAACTGATTTAGACTGGAGCTGTTACATACTGTATTTTTTTTAGAGATGGTTTGGTTTGTAGTGGAGAGCCAGAGTGGCAATAGATGAGCTTCTGTAGTGAAGATATAATCTTCAATGTCAAAAATCATGTCCTCCTTATCAGCAAACAGCAAGTACAGATATTTAAACATTTCAGCCAAGAAGAATGAGTCCATCCTGTGGAGAAAAACGGGATGTCCTTTAGTTCTAGTCATCAGTAAAATAAATATTCCTAGTGCTCCATCTCTGAAGACTTCATGACTACTACTGCTGGACATAATGACATTAGCATTCCTTCCACTTGGAAGAAGCCGTGTTTGGAGGTAAATGATTCAGCATATTCAGTACAAAAGAGCATTATAGAAAAAACAAATAAACCTCCTAACAAACTTACAGATTTGAAGTATATTTAGTTTGAATGTAATTCATCTATTGCTATCAGACAAATGAGACATTTTTAAACTAAGAATATTTTTATAGAGCACCCTATAACTCTACTGAAACAGTTGACGGATTGCTCCAATGCATTTACAGTTCAATACAATTACAAACGGGTAATTTAAGACTTGGTTATTAGACTGAAGACAGACAACTCCTCCAATATAAATTAATTCATTGTAGTCAATTACACAGGGCAATTTGATTTTTTCTGTAATTTTATATTTAAAAAAACAATTGTGCAAACTTTACCTGTCTTCATGACTTCCTGTACGAACATCCTTCATCGCAGCAAAACCACAGGGAACTCTGGCATACTTGTTCAAGTTTTCAATGAGGGTTTTTCCTACTTCTAGGTAGTAAGGATCTCCTGTAGCCTATAAAATAAAACAAACCAAAAAAATTTATAACCATTACATTATAAACATCTTGTTTGTATCCTAAATTGGATATAATTTAGTCTCCAGTGGATAAGTTAAGCTGGAAATATGCTACTCAATTCTGTATTGAAATAAAACAGCAACAAAATTCTAGGTGCAAGAAAAAGTGCTCAAACGTCAGAGGAATGAATATGACTGTACTTTATACAAGAAGTAGGTGCTTTCAGCAAATTCAGGCCTCAGAGGATGCTGAGCCCAGTGAACTCTGAAGTCTGTTGTGAATGCCTGAGGATGAAAAAGAACAGACAAAAATAAATGCAGGAATGCAAACCAAACACAGGTTTATTTGAATTCTATGTAAGTGCATAACCAGCCTAGCTTTGATAAACACCATTTTTTCAAACACACCTACCACCTGATACCTCCAGTACACTCAAGTGTCACTGCACACTGACAGATGGTTAGGCAGTTGTTTCTAAATTAATACCACAGGCTAGAAGTCAGATATCTAAAATTTCCTAGTCTATCTATTCACTCTTAAAGTGCACTGCGAAAAGCCACTTCTTTCATATATTCACTATTTCATATTAAGGTTTAAACCAAGTCTTTGCTTAGGGGATGGTCTGTTGGCTTAAAAACAACTACCCGACCTTTTAAAATACAAAAAAAACAACCAAAAACCCATAAACAGCCAAATTACACCATGTTAAAAGCACTAAAAAAAAAAATCACTTCAGTACTTAGCATTCTTTACTCTCAGTAACACACTAAATGAATGTGATATTAATTAAAATGTTCTCTAACTGAAGTAAGATTACACTAGAGGAAAGTCAAAATTAAATCTGGAGTCTGAAGCTTTCAAATATAATCTGGGTCATCACAGATTAAAGACACACTTCAGCAGGTAAACAAGTTTTTCTGTGCACAATGGACTTGCTCAAAGACTTGTAGCATCTGCAGTAAGTTTGTGTGCTGACTTTCAAAGACATTATACAAAATTCCAGAACATTGTCTCAGCTGTCAGACATGCAGAACTGCAAATCACACATGACTGTTGTGGAAATGAAGCTTTGATTTTAATAATATATATACCTCCTGGTTTTTCAAATGGGCATCTGCAACTGCTCAAATTGAGGCAAGAATGAGTTTACACAATCAAAAATACACATTTCTGATTTACAAAATCAAAAAACTTCTACCTCACCTCTGGAAGAAAATTATGCTTTTTTATAACCTGATACAGCATCTCATGTGTTTCAATAGCAGGTCTAATATCACCCTTCAACACCTAAAATTAAAAAAAAAGGTAACACTAATTCAGCATAGGAATAATACTCAAGGTTAAAAAAAATTCACATTAAGTTAGTTCACATTAGTGTGTTCATGTAAAGCTACAGAGCAGTCACTACATACTGTAATTATTAATCGCTATCTCTGTAAGTCACAGATACTCCTTAAGAGTTTTTAAAGCAAAACTCAGTGAACTCATTAAAATTATTGCCTGTGTAGAACAAGGACTTCTGACATTTACAGAGAACTGGGTTGAAAATGTGATTTAGTTTACCTTAAAGATGTCAATGGCACAGAAACTAGAAAATTGGTTACTAGTAAAAAGGCAGCTTAATTGGAGTGTTTTCATGACTAGGAGTGAAGGAAGCAAATTACATGAACATACTTTTCCTGATACTTAACACAGCCAGAAAAACACATTAACTTGCACCATGGCATTTGAAGTGACTGGAAGACTAAGTACAGAAACCATGGAATCCCAGAATGGTTTAGGTTAGAAGGGACCTTAAAGCCCATCCAGTGCCACCCCCTGCTATAGGCAGGGACACCTTCCATTACCCCAGGTTGCTTCAAGCCCTGACCAGCCTGGCCTTGGACACTTCTAGGGATAATCCCTCAGTATTTCTGAAAATCAAACTACTACGGTTGACTTGAAAATCATATATCCAACCCAGTCAATAATTTCCTTGTTATTAAACGTATCTCTACATGGGTTTTACACCTTACCTGCAATCCAGGGAAGAAAGCAAGCAGAGAATCCATCCAGGTCCGAGCATTTAGCATTGGTTTATGAATGTGAACATCAAGGAGAAGAGGTGGCTGGCTGATGTATCTCATTATGGCATCATAGTGCTGCCAAACATCAGGAAAAGCAGGAAAGTTTGTGTTTCAATTAATTCCCCAAAAGAGAGATGGATCGCCAGACCGACATTGTATTTGAATGGAAAAGCCAGTACTACATTCCAAATCATTACTATGTACTGATTTGGCAGTGCCACTAATCTCTAGTTTTGCAAACTAAAGTATTGCAAAACTTGCTATATTTCCAAGGAATATACATACACAAAAATATATCCAGCAGCCACGTGATAAACCAGGAACTATCACAGTTAAGGCACATTTGTTTTGGCTGAATTTTAAAGCATGCTCTAAAGAAAGCTGAAATTGCTTTCTCTGAACAGTGGAGTGCCAAAGCATATGGATCTCAGGAGGAAAAGGAGTTTAAAAAACCAAACAAAGCAGCTGGACTGGATGGCTCAGAAGAACTTTTAAACCCACTAGGTCACTTGCCACGTTACTGACTTCCAATCCTAAACTTTGTTTTCAGAAGGTGCAATCCTGAGCACATGAGCCAAACTGACAGGAAACACTTAACAGATGTAGCTCAAGGAAAAGGTAACACTGGGGGCCGCCTCTTAGGACCATGAAGTCATCATTACACCTAAAGTGTTATAACAGGCCTTTAACTACAGAATTATTCCACTTCTAATAAAAAAAATCATGCTATATGATAAAAAATCATTTTATGATCTAAGATGTTTTAATGGATATTGCTATTTTCAAAAGAAATAATGCTTTTACGAAAGAATTATGATGCTGTCCAAGTTGCTCAGTAATTTATGAATTAAAAAAAAAATCTAAGTGTACTTTTCAGCTTATATACTTAAATGTATCCTGGGCCTGAGGATCTGCAGTGCAAAGCAAGATCCACACTTTAATTTTTTTGTTGCTCCAGGACATAATGAAATTGTACAATGGCTTGGAAGAAGAGGTCCTTACATTCTTTTACAGAAACATTTGCAGTATTGCATTCTTCCGGATGATCTAGAAATACAGCTTCTCCCATACTGGGAAGATGGATAAAGGCCTAGAACATTCTGATTTTTATTGGATAGGGTTAAAATAACTGCTCAGGGGACAGCTGATCACCCAAGATTAGCAAAAACCCTCAGTAAAAAATGCTGGCACTGAACACAGCAAAAGTCACAGAAATTCTGCTTAAAGATCCCTTCTCAGGCTAACAGCTGACAACACAATTGCTCTGAAATTTGTACTGCAGAAGGCACAAACCTGCGCAAAGTGTTAACTTACCGTGTTAAATCTTTCCAGGAAACTGTCATCTCCCAGCAAGACATAGGCTTTTAATAAATATTCATAGTATGAATCTATTCCTGCTCCGACTCCACTATCTAGGAACAGGAGAAAATAAAAAGGTGGTTTATTTTAAGTAGTGATATGGGTAGTTTTCATATTTTCCCACTTTGATTTTAAAGGCTCTTCCAGTGAAAGGAAAAGCCTCCTATCACTGGAATTAAGGCACAGATGGAAGCAGAGACACAATACTGTATGTCTATGCCAAAGGCTTTGTACTACCACTGCACATAATAATATGGACAGACACACATTGAAGACACTTATTTCACTTCTCCCATCCTATTTATATTTTTCCTATATACTTATAGCAAAGTCTCTGAAAATTCATCCCATGGCATTTCCCTCTCAGTGTTAAAGAGGATCAGGGAACACTTTGCCATGAATAAAATCAGTTTCTCTACCAGAGAGGGCTTTGCTCTCTCAGAGCAGAGCCAGGCTTTGGGGCAGCAGGTTTCTCCATTGCCTATCCCATTAATATCTTTCAACAGTTCAGGTAAACATGCTGGTGGTATGTGAGATTTCTCCTGCCCCAGAGTGCCTGTGGTGCCTGCCTGCGGGTCAGACCCCACCTTTGCGGACCCAGTCTCCAGTGTGGATGTTAATGGTGACCCCCACTAAGTTGCTGCTCCGCTGCCTCTTCTCCCAGATAAAATCCAGCGCTTTCCGGGCATATTCCTGCAACAACAGCAACAGGGAATTAGGGAAACACAGATACTAAACTGATTCTTTTGGCTGTTTCAATTAAGATGCTAGGAAAGGAACAGGATGCTTCATGTCTAACAATTTCAGAACTCCTTCTAATCTTGAGACTATTTATCTTGTTTACTTTTGTATTACTCAATCAAAATTATTTCCTGTGACTTAAAAAATTATTTAAAAATATCAAACCTTAGAAGAAAGCCCACAATCACTACGAATCTCAACATATACAAATACTTTTGTGCAGCACAGCTAAGACATTAATTTCATGAACTCAAACTTGTTTTCCCAAAATTACGAAATGTAAACAGAACTCTAAAGACCTATGACAAAAAATAAAGTATTGTGGAAAGCAAACCTCAAATATAGATGTTCCTGTGAATCTACTTAAAGCTGCAAACTCAAGGATCAAGGTACCAGCACAAGCTGTACAGGTATCAGTTTCTGTTCCTGTTCGTGCTTCTGGATGTCTTACACCAAATTTTAAGTTAACCTAGAGAAATATAGAGATTAACATCTTTATTTTTCCAAGCTGAAAGAATTTACACTCCTATGATTGTATAGCAACTATATAATCTATGCTCTTTCTAAAGACAAGAAGCAGATCCTGTTGGTTTTGCTCTGCCAGCTTAGATGTGCACAGAGAACTATCCACAAATACTCAAAATACCCAAACAAGAACCTGTTGCCTGGTTCACCAGACATTTGAATATGAGAATACAGTTTAAAAATCTAATCCAAGCAATTATTTTAGCAACAAATCAGGAACTCAGAACATCACAAGTGCTTCTGGAAATTTAGTTTTGTAAATATCTCACTACTCCTGGCTCCTGACAGTACCTGCAATTTATCAGCTTTCAATTTTCTGTCCACTTAATAAATATAGAAATTATTTTGGAAACAGATAAGAAATCAAAAGAGAAGTCTTGATTACAGCTGTAATACTGTATTACAGAAACAGAACTTACTCTTGGAAAAGGGAGACCACTAGTGGTGTTAAAAGCAGGTAAAAGCTTGTAGCCCAGTTCCTTTGCCATGTGCAGGAGTTCACCATTGTACCACTGCATATATTCACCTTTTTCTTTCAGCATAATTGCCACTGAGTGCCCGCCTAGGAGACCTCTAAACACAAAAGAAATTATCCACATCTCAGAAGGTATGTTTATCTGAACAGCAAGGACAACTCTCTACAATTTAGATGACATGTACGTAACTGTAGCCCTAGTTTTTAGACTGCTGATGAAATTCCCATTATAATAAAGGTTAGCTACCAGTATTTTGGAAGCAATACTTCTTGTTTATCACTGGAATCATTGATTCATCAATATTACACAGGAATAGCACCAATACCTCTAAAATGGCATATAATAACTTAAAATTACATGCTCTGATCCTGCATTGAGCCCCAGAGGTCCCTTCCAAGCCGAAATAATCTATGACCCAAGTATCAAAATCTCGTAAGTCAAATTGAACAGAGCCATTTGCAAGCCTATTTCTCTTAAGCAAATTCACCTCTCCCTCAGCATGCACATGGGTTCTTAATCAGCAAAGCTGTGCATGCAGCAGTGAGATGGGGGGCAGATTGATCCAGCACCACTGCAGGAAGTCCTGCCTTGCATTTTAAAACTACTTGCAGGTGAACTGACAAAGGCACACCTGTTTCGAATAGGTGGAACAGTACAGAAAGGTGTCTTAAAGACACTGACGAAAATACACATTTTTAGGAGTTTTGAAAACAAAAGTTACTCACCCAAGGACTCTTATGTTGGTTTCAAAGACAGACACAACTATGTCATTGTCTAAATTAACATCCTTTATTACTTTTTTTACAGCCTCTTCAAACTCTTTGGTTTTATTTAACACCTAGAATACAACAGTGAGCAGGTGTTCAGTTCCAGTATAGCTAATGCAGTCACAGTGTATTTTTCTACAGGATACTTCAGTGCACACAAAGCTATCCAAGAAATATGTACATACAATTAAAGCCAGAAATACATCAGTTATTAAGAGGTGCCCTCCACTAACTGAGCATCTTGCTTTAGACTATAAAGGAAAGCAAACTCTTTTGCGTTAAGTTAGAGCCAAAAAAAAATCCAATATAAAAAGGTATCCATGAAATGTGAAGGAACTGCTGTAGTTTTATTACAACCAACTCCAAACTCCATCCCCACAGCACTTCAAAGTTCCCACAAGTAACAGTCACTTCAAACAGTCAGACGTCAATGGTCATGGAAAAGATAAAAATAAGTCTGAGCATCAGAAGCATCTTTGTTTTATCAAAGTTTATCAACAGATTACTTACCACAAGAGTGTCCAAGGTATCAATTAAGGTCAGTGAAAACCTGCAAAAGAAAATTTAAAACAGATTTACTATAGATCTGTATGTGTAGGAATTAAGTGATTTTTAATAGTAACTGATACCAGAGAAAAAACTAAATTCTCACAGACCACCAGCTGCAAAAAATTAGTTGTACTCCACACATTTAATATCAAAACCTCTTTCTAACTTTCTCCCCTTTGCTAGTGACCAGGAGGTGACAAAGAAGCTATGATTACAGATAACATTTATTTACTGTAAAGCTTTCTGACTTCTGGTAAGCAAATTTAATTTTTATTTCTTGTCTCCAATCATTTCTATTAAGAAACCTAGCATAAAAGTTTAAGTATTTTTCTGGTCTCCTTTTCAAAAAAAGGAGAAATGTTGAGGTCAAAAGCTATTCCAAGCTAAATTTCTCCTACCAGAAACTGTTCCAACACTAGCAAGTGGTAGGCTTAAAATAAAGAACTACTTTACTTACTCTAAAATAAAGAACTATTTTAGCAGTGTCCAAGGCCAGGCTGGACAGGGGTCAGAACAACGTGGGCCAGTGGAAGGTGTCCCTGTCTGTGGCAAGGGGGTGGCACAGCATGGGCTTTAAGGTCCCTTCCAACCCAAACCAGGTTGGGATTCTGTGATCATTCCATGAAAAGAAGAGCATCAAGTTAGCTCCATACTGTCTAAAACAGGAACATCCTAATGAGGATCAGAGGTTTTTTCCAGGGCTGTTATAGTGCATCCCAAGCTGAGGGCACCTTTCCACATCCCAGGAATTCTATCTATAATTTTATCTTAAATATGTCTAATTCCAGCAACTGTTTCTATACTAAGACACACCCACAACATGAAATAGAATTTACGGAACAAGATGGTGTTAAAACTGAACACTTTGGAACAGTTAAAGTTGCCTACTGAGGAGCACGCACCAAGGATTTCAGTAAGTGCCCAATGTTTGAAACCTTGTAGGCAATTTGCGACAACCAAAATTCTAATTAAGTGTTCCTATATAATAATTCTCTTTTATTTGTAAAGACATAAGGGCATTCTTTGAGTACTGTTTTACAGGAGACAGAGATTAACTAATGACTAAGTACACCTGCCTAACAAATCCACAACTTCTTCCGTACAAAAGGAGAGAAATTACACATTTCGCATCTATATGGAAGGCTCCTAAGTTCCCCAGGGAAACAAAACTGACCCAGCTGCCTCACCCTGTCATTTTGTGATTGCAGACTGGCAGAGAACACAATGGATGAGGCAGCTGGCAAGAAAAAGGGTAAGAAATCTAGTACATAATAATGTAACTAATTATAAGATACAGAATAAAGCCTGTATACAGAAAACCAATAAATACATACAATAATTTAATGCATCTAAGGGGCTGAAAGGTATTTTTACATAAATGCTAGTATGTTACTTTTAAAAAATGTCATTAAAAAGAATGCATGACCAGGATTAAAAATACATTTTCTTGATACATTTCATCTTCTGTATCTTTGGATACCTCCAAGGCAGCAGGATTATATGGAAATCTCTAGACTAAAAAACATCTGTACATAACAAAACATGGCCAAAATAACATGCTCAATATCCTAGAGACAGAAGCAGTCTTTAAGAGAAAGATTTCAGCTTTGATTAACACCATTGTGCAGAAACATTAAACAGTGATATAAAAAAAAAATCAGCTATTTGTTATTAAAGAATTTGATCTATAAACTGCATATATTCAAATTACAAACACATTTAGAGTAGGCCTACTTTGCCTTTGATTATTCCATTTAACATGGAAAAAACCTGCTCTTAAATCTACATTTTGCTAGCCATAGGATCAGTATTTTGTACTATCAACTCTCTTTAAAGAAAAAATAGAAAATATTTCCATGTCTGAAATAATGTTCTATACTTCAGTGACAGCTTGAGGCTATCATCCATGTGATAATCATTTGACTGCTTGTTTTCAGAAAACTTTCTACTTAAAAAAAGCACTTTAAGTATCACTTATTAGGCCAGCATCATGGATAAGAGTTTACTGTTCTATTCAGCCGATCATTAACCCTTATAACCTCTACTACTAATATATGTCAGCCCACATTTGTTAAGTTTTCCTATGGAAAATACTTGGAGAATGGTTAAAAATATTACCTTTGGATCTCATTCACTGGTCAATTCTCTTCTAATTAAGGTACAACTTCACATCAGTTAACTTCATAATAATAAAAATACTTCTTATAAGTGTAAGTTTCTGGCCATATCAACTGAACAAACATTATGGGCTGCCAACTGTACTTCTATTCCTAAATGTTTACAGTGACCATTTCAGACACTAACTTTCCCAAGGCATCATCCACATCCCCTCGACTTGGCTCCTGACCCCGCACTCGTCCACGACAAGTTAAAGGCATGAGTTCATCAGCTGGATACGCATGCTCCTGTTGGGAACAAAACAAGGGAGTCAGTTACAGTCCTCACAGCCATTCTTGGGAGCTCAGGAACCCTCATCATGCTGTTCTTCAGAAAAACTGCATGGCCATCACAGAGCCTTGCAGGTGGGAAGGGACCTCTAGAGTTCATCTTGTCCAAGACCTCTGCTCGAGCAGGGCCACCCAGACCCAGCTGTCCTGTCCAGTACCATGTCCAGACAACTCCTGAGCATCTCCAGGGTAGAAGACTCCATGGCCTCTGGGCACCCCTTTGCCAGTACCTGGTCAACTCCATAGTGGAAAAGTGTTTCCTCATGTTCAGAGGGAACCTCCTGTGGATCAGTTTGTGCCCATTTCATCTGAGCACCACTGAGAAGAGTCTGGCCCTGTCTTCTTGACAGCCTCCCTTGTTAAATATTCCCTAGAGCCTTCCCTTTTCCAGGCTGAACAGCCCCAGCTCCCTCAGACTTTCTTTACATCACCTTGATGGCCCTCCACTAGACTCTACACAATGAATTCACCTGGCTGAGGGTGACAGTCAATGACAAGTAAGAGAACTCAGAAGTTGAAACAAAAAATTGGTGAATTACTACATAAGACATAAAAGATAACGTTCACCAAAAATCCCCTAACAAGACTGAGCCTTTTACAAATATAACTGACACTAATATAACAAATATAACACTTTCTCTTGATTTCAGCAGGAAACTGGCTTCTGTACTGAGGTCTCCAGTTTTAGTGGAGAACTAACATGTGGCAGGATAAAAAACTTAAATTGCTGGACTGAAACTGCAAGTAAACACATTCAAAATCTTTCCAAATACATGGTACAAAAATAAACTATATTCAAGCATGAAATAAAAATTAAAAAAGGAACATTTCTCTATAAATAAACAGCTCTTACAGCAACTTCTTTTGAAACTGATGGTTTGTTTCCCTATATACCACCCTCCTGAGTATTTTGGTCTTTGCTCAAGTCTTTGTTCTCCTCAAGTTTAACTGCAAAAGGCAGAATCTAGATCACTTTAATACAGCAGTTTCTCTGCAAAGTATTCAGACAAACAGATTAAACAAGTACACAACAAAAGCAATGTCAAAACTGAGATCTCTGGCTTAAATTTTGGGTGAGAGAAGTGATAAAAAAATCTGGAAAAAGAAACTTTTGGCTTTACAAATAAAGAACTAAAAGCATTTTGAAAAATAAAAAGTTCATTTATTCTCTGCCTGCAGCAGAGAATATTGGATTGAATTCTTTCTCACCTTTGGATTGAGTTATTTCCCAATTTGTCACTGGCCTCAAGTGACTGACATTTTCACATGTTCTGACAGCCAAGAAGAAAAATATCCCCATTATTAAAAATATCGCTAAAGGACTGAAAAACCCCAGCAGCTTTTTCTCAAAGCTTAAAAACTAAATAATGAAAAAAAAAAAAAAAAAAAGCAAGGGAGTTTCCCTTGCAATCAAACACAAATTTTCAGTCTTCTAAATACGCATGTCTAAAATATGTATTAATAGAAACAGAAAATTAAAACTTTTCAGCTGCTTGTTTCAGAAACACCTGCAAAAATACTTAATTGTCCTGCTGCCAGAATCAAGTCTGATACTCTAATCTTTTCTTCAACTTTAAACAAGCAAGTCACATTCCTCTGTTTGTTTAGTGCTCCAGCATACGTGGCAAATGAATATCCTTTTGGCTTCAAAGTTTCCAGGATAGTTTAAGTTTTTCCTCTCCTTCAAACAGAATTTTCTTGCTTCAGATATGGCAAGACCCCTAACCAGTTGCCAATTTATCACACAAGCACAGATCCTTGTAATATTTTATCCAATTTTGCCAAATATATAAGTTTTCCATTGTGGAAAGCCAAGCCACGTGTTTTTCATGGAACTAGATTACAAAAATTATGACCAAAAAGCCTGATGTTTAACTGCTAAAGGTTTCAAAATTACAGAACCTAAAAGGAGAAACCGCACCCCTTTGAAAATCCTCTTGCTTAGCTTTCAGTCCTATCTACAGTCCTGTATCTCTCCCATGCTGTATAAAGTTTTATTCCTGAGATTTTAAGCTTAAATTAAATATTAAGGTTTAAACCATAACACAAAACCTGGGACATATAGCAAGATGCTGCCAGGAGACAGAAGTTTGTGCTGCAGGAACTGATGCAACTTGAGAGTGGTTTCTGCAACAGCCACAAAGAATGTGCAAGAATGTCCATATAAAGCCAGTAAGAATTAATCTTTTATATTTATCTTAGTCACATTTACACTTCCTCCTCAGAAGTGTATTACTTATAGAATATTTCAAAGTAATTATTTTGAGGAAGTCCAAGTAACTGTTCTTAAGCTTTTCTAAACCAAGCAGTTCGAGGGTGTGTGGAATGGCTCAAAGATCCAGAACAGGAAGACACCTGCACAGGAATCATAAAAGTCAGAGCAAAAGAAACCACAGCCAGCATGGTCTATGGTCATATGACAGTCACATCCTGGGCACAGCCTGGAATGCCTGGCTATGGCACCAGATGCCCTTTCTCTTATACAGTTTGTAGAAGAACGCCCAAACTGCATCTGACATGGCTTACCACTGAAAAAATATTAAATATTATTTTTACGTACAAAATAAGTAAGATCAATTTGTGTTCTCCAGAATCTGATGCCTACAGACAGCTCTTCTTGAGTTTCCTTTCCCTGGAATTTCAAACCAAATACTTTACTGCTGACAGCCTGACACGAGATAAACTCATTTGGGAAAGATCAGGCACGGATAAGGAGAGTTACCACAAGTGATTCTTAGTTACCACTCTAAAAGCCATCACAACCCTTCTGAAAGTAACATTTGTTATGGTCTTTTTAAAGACTTTACAGGTGCTATTATTTACTTTAGCTCTGTTTTCACCCCTCCTTCCCAGATATTTCTATAGAATGTCATGTACTGTATGTTGCTTTCTCCCCAAGGTCAGCAACAACTCCTCAGAAAAACATCAAAAAAGTATTTGACTTACCATATAATTGCTATATGCATGATCAAACATTTCAAGCACTTGATTTCTAAAAAAGAAAAAAGAAAAAGCCTTAGTAGTCTGTCTCCCAATGGCCTTTAAAACACCATCTTACATGTATCACACTTTAATATCTGCTATCAGGCACAGGTCCTCTACTAACATACTCTACCCAAGTAAATGAAACACAGAATAATAATTTTTCTTGATTCAGCTACTCTTGTCCACTCCAGAAAGGAAAGACTCTTTCTTCACCTAATAAGAAATTATTTGGGGCTCTCTTAGCAAGCACACACTAAAGAAAACCCTGACATTTATTTCATATGTTTGAAAGGACAGAAATGCTTCTATATGTAAGAACTACCAAAAAACCACATTGCTTTGTTAATACACAGCACTACTTCTGATCATTCCTAGCTGTTTCACTAAGGAGCCCTGCAAGGAAAGAAGTATGCTAATTTCTACCATCAATGTAATTCACAATCTCTGCTGATAAGACTAAACATAAAAGAGCCCAAACCACCACAATTATATTGTAAATATCCAATTTAGTTCAATGACTTGGACATTCAAGAAGTAGTTTTAACTCAGCAGGTGAATTAAGGCATCAAAAGAAAAGAGGATGGTGCTTTCCCAGGTGCCTCTCAGGTTGCAGCAGGCAAAACCCCAGATAAATACACAAAGCTGCTGGGTGATGTAGCACACAGAAAATTGTTTAAACCTTACATTAACAGGAAAACACAAACCACAGCAGGACATAACCTGCACATGCCTAGGGTATCAGATGATATTTTAAGTGCAACGCAAAAATTTTAAGATAAATTGGGGAATGAAATTTCAACTCCTTGTGCAACGTCGTGAAGAAAACATAAAAGATTGCACACACAAATTATCCTGAGAACCCAAGATGGAAAACCCCAGTAACAGTAAAAAGTGGAGTTAAATATCAACTTCTACCTGACAGCTGGACTTGATGATATTGAAGGCCTTTTCCAACCTTAACAACTCCGTGATTAACAACTGTGAGAGTATACACAGTTTCTCCAGCAGACTTTTTGCATTATTGTTCTGTACAACTGACTACTGGATGAGGATGATGAAACTGCCCCAGAAACATACTAAGACAAAATACACTTGATTGCAAATTTGTTTAAAGAAAATCCCACTCCAGGCAAGAGAATGTATTTCCACATACCTTGTAATATTCACCCTTCAACTAAAAACTACAATAAAAGAATCAGCCTTTTACATGTACATGCATGGGGGACCGAAGCAGTTCAGGTTACATACAGGAACTAGGTAGAACACACGTAAACATTTACCTTTTTTATGATTCCCGCACTCTCACAGAGACACGGCCATAATTAAACCGAGTGGGGATTTAGACGTATCTTTGATCACTTTCACCCCTAGCTCCACGCAAGCCCAGGCTGAAACCTCCAAGGTGAGCTCCCAAGCGAGTTACAAGTTCACACAGCGCATAGTTTAATCCCACACCGGAGAAGGGGCGGCGTGTCCCCAAAAGCCGGGTGACCTGGCCCAAGACACCCGCCAGGGTCCGGCACGCTCAGCTCCAACCCTGCTGGGTACCGATGCCACGCGTCCTCTGGAGTGTTATGGGGGAGAGGGAGGGACAGGGGACGCCGTTCCGAAGCTCTGCGCCTGCAGCCGCCCAGCCCAGCCCACCCCAACCCCGGGGGCAGCGCACACCCCCTGCCCAGCACGACGGGGGCCGGGCCCGGCCCGGCGTCCTTTCCTTCCTCCCTCTCTCTGCGCTCACCCCAGCCGGCGCTTCTCCTCTCTGCTCATGGCTCCGGCGCCTGGGGCGGCCGCCAGCACGGAGGAGGCGGAGAGCAGGCCAAGGGCCAGGAGCTTCCAGGGCCTCCTCCAGCGGGGTCCCCGCTCTCCGGCGCGGCAGCCCGGAGCTCCGCTGAGGGCCATGGCGGCCGGCCGGGTGCCCGCTAGTCCCGCTGCGGGCCCATAGCCTCTCCCGCGGCTCCCGGGGCAGGAAGGGCCCGGCCCGGCCCCTCCGCGCGCGCCCGCGGGGGCGTAGCCAAGGAAACGGCCTCGCGCCGCCGCCACTTCCGGCACCGCCCCCCAGCGCGCGCCGCCGGGCCAATGGGGAAGCGTGGCGAGGGGGTCACGTGGACCGGCAGGGAACGCGTACCGAGCCGGTCGACGTGGACAAAGGCGGCGGAACCACAGCTCCCGGCGTACCCCGCGCCCTGCCCTTCCTCAGGCGCTGCCCGCTCCGGCTCCGTGCGAGCCCCAGGTGCGGAGTGTGCCGGGAAATGGTGGAGTGGCTTGGAACGGAAGGGGCTGTACGGAGTAGTTCATCATGCGTAGGGATGTGATTCGAGTCCCATCCAGCCTGGCCTTTGCACACACAGGGATGGGGCAGCCACGGCTTCTTTGGGCACCCTGTGACAGGGCCTCACCACCCTCACGGCGAAGAACTTCCTCCTACATACGAAATCTAACACTCAGTTTGAAGCCATTCCCCCTCACGCTGTCACTTCGTGCTCCCGTAAAAACTCCCTCTCGGTGTTTCCCGCAGGCTCCCCTCCAGCAATGGAAGGAAACACCTCTGTCATTCCCAGCTTCACGAGGACCATTTCTTTAATAAAACCCCCCAAATTATCTCACACTCACAAAAGCAGCCTCCCAGCAAAGGAAGGGAAGAGCGTCTTTATTTCCATGACAAGCGTCTGTACAAAGTTCCAAGCAAATACAATGTGTTTTATGTCCTTGCTTTTAACACTGAAAACCCGACGGAATGCCACACCCCAGCCCGCTCCCATCAGGACACCCGACTCTCGGCCATGGGCCATAAGAGGCGATTTATTACGGTTCCCAGTTTGTGAGCTGCAAGAAAACAATAAAAACGACGGAATGGGTGCATTATTACCATTTCCGATCAGTGGTCCCACGTAACCTTGCAGATTGCTGAGCTCTTCTAACCAAGCTGTTGCTTCTAACCAACTGTGGTAGAGACTAAAAAAGCACTACTTTATCCATTTGCAAACGGGCAGAAAATCCCCCAAACCGGGAAAAAAGTACCCTGGCCATGAGGAACTGCAATTTAAATTGCAGAACCAGGCAATGTACAAGCTGAATCCTCCCATCCCTACCCATCTCACTGGTGAAAACATCTGAGCATCTGCATTCAGAAGTGCAACTCACATGACAGGAAAATATTACCCAGATCTAGGCCTGCCACAGAAATAACTCCAAAATTACCATTATGGGAATACTTATGCAAAATGCTCTCTGTACAGATAGTAGATAGATAGATACATAGTAGAATGAATGTGTTCCCTTTTGCAGGAGGCTGCAGTCTTTTTTGCTGCCGTGCTGTCTTTCATACAAAAGAAGTATTAAAAACCCATCATGTTCCCTAATTTTAGTTTAAAAAGGCTGTTTGCTGCTGCTTAACTCGAGCACTTTATAAATATGAAGTCACTTAACATTCAGTACCAATTAAAAGTAGTTAATGATTTGTAAAAGTGAAGCAGCTGACACTGAAATAACCAATGATTTGTAAAAAAATAATTGGCTAGCAGTAGTTTGTATGTTTACAAATTAGTATTTTTGCATGAAATATAATGAGGAAATGAGTTAAATTACTTCTGCAAGGAAAACATCTATGACCTTCATGTTTCCATACCACAGCATGGCTTCTGGAATAAAAAGAAACTGCATTTATTTTACTGCAGTGACAGAGCAGTTAATCCCGTTACTCAACAAAGTTCCTTCCTCACACAGTAATATTTGCCTGTTCCTCTAGTGTAAATTTTCTATTAGCATTAGAGAATATTTTGATAGCATTAAAAGACTTTGCACAGTTTGCTGAAGTTAAATGTTAACACATATTATGCTCCCGGGACTTTGTTATTTCTTCCCATGTCTTTATGGGCATAAATCCAGCAGTCCATGCTGCAATTATAATTAATCTTTGCTGTCCTGTAATGTATGACATTCAGAAACAGGCTCAAAACACCGGGCCAGAAGTTCAAGGTGCCTTAAACTGACCTCTAAAGTGAGGTTTTGCATTTGAAAGGCCAATTTACTAAAATACTGGGTTGCATCTCCAAACTTTTCTGTGCAAACTGAGATGCAAAGAACACATTTAAGCAACTCTGCACCAATATCACGGTTTGATACAGACCATGTGTATGAAAGCAACCATCTCATTTTAGTAACAGCTTTTGTAATGTGATTCTGCCCTCCAAAATCTAAGCATATGTAAAACAACCTCTGGCTGCCTGCCACTTCAGTTAACATCTACATTGGAAATTATAAGCAATGATTCCGATATTTCACAATTGTTGCCACTTATTACATGACTTCCACACCTTAAAAAGGTCTACAGACCTAAGTAACTCAGTGTGAATAGGAATGGCAGGACTCAATCTTCCGTATGAAATAGCTGTAAGTGAATCTATTTTATGGTGGGATTTAAACCAGAGAAATGCTGCCTAATTGTTATAGTTATTGTAAACATTCTCTTCTCTCCCTTCCATAAAACAAAACAATATAGCCATAAAGTGCTCTGGAAGGCTAAATAACCCTGAAGTGCAGAGTGGGACTGAGAAACCTGCTCCCATACTTTCCCCTTTTTAAATACAGCAATAAGAGAAAAAAAAAAAAATTAAAAATCCGAATATTTGCTTGTCTTTGGTATCTGCCGAAACTTGAAAATAATTAAGTAACTAGTTTGCAGAGTTTGCACAGTGTGACTTTTCAGCAATCTACTATCTCAACTATTTGGTTCTGTTTGCTACTAAAAAATGTTTTTATTTCCTGTATACTGCATGCAAATTCTAAAAGCATCCTCGAGAATGTATATACCAACCACCAGAATCATAGCAGTACTTGTCAAAACCATGCATTTAAAAACTAGGAGGATCCCTAAGAACAGCTAAGTTGTTAAAATAAGCTGATGATAGCTGGGCATTGGAAGCATTCAATGGTCACATTTTCAGACTTTTTCTCTAGCTTTAAAACGGAGCAGATTTGAAGTGACAGATGAAGTTCCTCAGCAGCAATCTCGTTTTAAGCAAAAGGAAACTCATCACCCATCCCTCAGGAAGGGATTCCTGGAAAACCTGCAGGAGCTGGGGACACCACAACAAAGCGCATTTCCTCCCGCCCCGACATGAATAAGTATTAACAATTCCGCAGGGATTACTGCAGGGCTGGGCTGAAAGCTGCTTTCTACTCCTCAGAGTTTTGCTGTGCAGAACCATCTTCTCGGTGTTCTTCTGGGAGAATCGCTTTTCCTCTTGTGCTTTGAATTCCTGCGTGTGAAGATGACTGATCTGGCTCCCCCTGTCGTCCCCCAGGCTCTGTGTCTGCCGTGCGCTCAGCCCTGGGCTGCCCCCGGCGCTGCTGCGGCACCAGAGAGACCGGCTCCAGCAGTCCTGGGCCCGGGTTTGCTCTATCCAAGATGGGCACGTCCCTCGTAGCTGCATGTGCAGCAGGGCTCCGAAAGGAGCTCTGTGTCCCAGACTCCTCCGAGACAGCGTTGCTGTTCCCTGTGCCTTCCTCCCCATACGGCCTTTTGTCTTCCACCGCATTTCCCGTGTGTTCCTCTGGCTGCAACCTCCCACCTCCCGCACCCGCGTACCACACACTTGGCTTGATCTCCACCTCTGCCTTTGCCTCCTGAGGCGGAGCCGAGCTCTCCACCAGCCATGGTGCTTGTGCCCCCCTAGGCACGCTCTCTGCACTCGTACCATCTAGCCCCACGCTGGCTGAGGACGGTTGCTCCTCCTTGAACTTCACACATGCTGCTGCATCTTCACTCCTCATCTTCTGGCTTACCTGAATTTCTGCCACAGCCACTTTGCTCAACTCGTAGTTACCATTATGGTGCTCCGGCAACTTCAGCAGCTCGCTCTCACAGACCTCCTTGATGTTCTCAGCTGGAGTATCTGCTGGGATCTCAACTGTTAGCATCAACAAACTCCTTATCTCATTCACATCATCGGGGGATTTACAACTCTTTTCTTGCGACTGGCTTTCTTTTTCAGGACAATCCCCAAACCCTGCCTTCCCTGTCTTTTCATCCTGGGAAACAATCTTTGTCTCAGTACTCTCACCACTTTCTTTTTTACTAACCCCTTCAAACCCTGTTCCTACTGCATTTTCACTCTGAGATAATTTTTCCATAATTTCATTTTCTAACTTGCTTTTCTTTTCCGCACTTCCAAAAATTTCTGTATCTGTTACATTCTCAGGTGGGAAAGTGACCTTTATCTCAGAAACTTTTTCCTGTGCTGTGCTTGCTTTCTCACTGCCACTGACAGGCACGGCAGCCGTTACTGTTTGACTCTCTGAAGTCACCTCTTCCTCTGCTGCTCCTTCAGGTACCTTAAGTTCTTTTTTAGGGCTAGCTCCAAAAATTTTTACTGCAGTGTCAGTCCCAGAAGCAACTTTTTCCTCCACAGCTTTTTGTTGTGCCTTGAATTCTCTCTCAGTGCTCACTACACACTCTGATTCATTCTCCAATGCACTTTTTCCCTCTGCAACTCCTTGTTTAGTGTGGCCAACCAAAGGGGACCCCTGTTTGTCACCAATGTCTGTAACAGCCACTGCTTCCTTCCTGCTGGCCTGATCACCACCTGCACTAGCAGAGGTGCCTGCCTCTTTGTCTGGGGACTTTCCCTCATCAGCATCCTTCTCCCACACAATTTTCCCTGTCACAACAAGCATTTCGTCCCTGTGGCTCTCGGTGTCCAATCCCTCGGCTTGGGCAGCCGTGGGCACTTTGGCAGGGGTGCCCTGTGCTGATCCCACGGGGGTCCTCAGCTCCGCCAGGCTGGACACACTCTCACAAGGCACATTCAGGTTATCCTCAAACAGGTTGTGCTTCCTCAAAACAGCAGCTTCTTTGATCACTGAATAAAACAGAAACACCAAACTGCTTTGGGAAGGCTGACAGAGGCACAGGGAAGAACATACAGTGCTTTCCCGAATTTATGTTGTACATTTTGATATTAAAGACAACAC